GTAAAACCTTAAAAAATCTTCTTTTAAAAGTCCCAAAGAGCTAGAGCAAGATATTTAGCATGAAACATCCTCTAATGGGTGTCTACCAAGTTTGTTCAAATAAAAGCCCTGGGGTCAAATTTGGCCCCGCCCAGGGGGTCATTGATTTACCCTATATGCATATAGTAAAACCTTAAAAATCTTCTTTTAAAAAACCCAAAGAGGTAGAGCTTAAATATTTGGCATGAAACATATTCTAGTCAGTGTCTACCAAGTTTGTTCAAATATAAAAGCCCTTTTGGTCAAAATTGCTCCGCCCCAGGGGGTCATTGATTTTCCCTATATGCATATAGTAAAACCTTAAAAAAGTCTTCTTTTAAAGAACCCAAAGAGCTAGAGCTAAGATATTTAGCATGAAACATCTCTAATGGGTGTCTACCAAGTTTGTTCAAATAAAAGCCCTGGGGTCAAATTTGGCTTCGCCCCAGGGGGTCACTGATTTACCCTATATGCATATAGTAAAAACTTAAAAAAATCTTCTTTTAAAAAACCCAAAGAGGTAGAGCTTAGCTATTAAGCATGAAACCTCTTCTAGTGGGTGTCTAAACAAGTTTGTTCAAATAAAAGCCCTGGGGTCAAAATTGGCCCCGCCCCAGGGGGTCATTGTTTTTCCTTTTATGTATATAGTTAAAAACATAAAAAATCTTCTTTTAAAAAATCTTAAAAGCTAGAGCTAAGATATTTAGCATGAAACATCTTCTAATGGGTGTCTACCATTTTTGTTAAATAAGGGCCCTGGGGTTAAAAAATTGGCCCGGCCCCGGGATCATTGATTTTCCTTTTATGTATATAGTAAAAAACTGAAAAAATGTTCTGTTAAAAAGACCAAGAGATAGAGTTTAGATATTAAGCATGAATTATCTTCTAGTGAGTGTTTACCAAGTTTGTTCAAATAAAAGCCCTTGGGACAAAATTGGCCTGCACAGAGGGTGTGGGTCATTGTTTTTCACTAATATGTGTTTAGTAAAAACTTAAAGATTTTCTTAGAGCTAGAGCTTAGATATTTATCATGAAACATCTTCAAATGGGGATCTACCAAGTTTGTTCAAATAAAAGCCCCTTGGTTAAAATTAGCCCCGCCCCGGGGCCCTATATACAGGTGAGCGATTTCAGGGCCATCATGGCCCTCTTGTTATTTGTTGTTTTCTGCCGAAAATGATATTTGCATAATTCATTTTTTAGATTCAATTATAACTGCAATCAGGTATACGATGATTAAAAAGGTTAGAAGTGTATACTTATCACATTCTTAACAAAAATACAGAAAACAACAAATGTTTACTATCTTGTTTAAAAATAAGTGACTATTTAATTTAAAATTTAAAGTTAAAGTTAAAAACAACAACAACAACAATAACAACACCACATTTTCATCGAGTCATAACATGTCTGAAACCGGGATATTGCTACGTGTGCTTGCTTTACCATGGCATCTCTCGAAAATTTTGGAATTCAGTCACGGTTTTGAGATAATTCTACAAGAAGATTATCACATCTTTGATACACATTAGAATTCCGGATACCCTCCAATAATTTGCCAGGATATCTTAAAGTAACAGCAGAGTCATCTATAAAAATATTATTTGTTATAAATCGAGTAATATTTTCTTTTGACCATATATAAAAGTCACGTGGGTTAGCTAAATAGTAGAGGTGTTAAAATATAATTGTAATACACCCTTTGTTAGCCATTGAAATAGTATTTAATGTATAAAGGATTTTCAAAAATGGTTATTATTCAGAGCGGGCGCTATGGTGCAGTGGTAACACTGTCTGCCTACAAATCAAGGGGTCGTGAGTTCGATCCCCCGCTACTCCACTGAACGAATAAATGACTACAAGACTAACAAGACCAGGACATAGACACAGAATGACGGCCACGATAGAAACAAAAGAAGACCTTAACGGAGCAGGAAACAAGTACCGAAAGTACAAGACCGAAGACGACGACCGATAACAGAAGGAAGAACGGAGACAAGAACTGGCAAGAAGCGAACAGAGACGAGGATCGCTAAAAGAAGAACAGGACAGGGACCGGTAACAGAAGAACTGACAACAAGCGAATATATACGTCGACCGATAACAGAAGAACAAGGTTCCTGAACAAGAGACAGGAACCGATAACAGAATAACAGGACATGAACCGATAACAGAAGAACTGACAATAAGCGAACAGAGAGGTCGACCGATAACATAAGAACTAACAACAAGACAACGGAGACGAGGACCGATAACACAATAACATAGACGACAACTGAAAGCAGAAGAATGGAAACGGGGATCGATAACAGAGACGGTAACCGATGACAGCAGAATTGACAACATGAAAACGAAGACCAGGACTCATTACAGAAGAAGAGACGAGAACCGATGACAGAAGAACGAAGACGAGAACCGATAACAGAACAGGACAGGGACCGATAACAGAAGAACTGACAACAAGATAACGGAGACGAGGATTGATAACAGACAAATACAGACGATGACCGATAACAGAATAACATAGACGAGAACTGATGACAGAAGAATGGAGACGGGGATCGATACAGAAAAACAGACACGAGAACGGATGACAAAAGAACGGAGAAGAACGAAGACGAGAACCAATAACAGTAGAACGAAGACGATGACTGATAACAGAAAAACAGAGACGATAACCAATAACAGAACATGTAACAACAAAAAAAAACTGAGACCAGGACCGATTACAGAAGAACGAAGATCACGACCAATAACAGAAGAACTGACAGCAGAGAAATGTGCCTTTAATTAAAACAATGTTCTCAAAAACCACAAAACGTAGGATAATGCACTTTGTATTGTCATTTGAAAGAAATTAACGCGCTAGGTTTTGTTTTGATTTAAGAAACGTCACCTTAATTTAACATAATAAGGTACTTACCGGGGCTCAGCAGTCGCCATTTTCTCGTGGGTATTACTATACAAAGTCACGTGATTCCCCCCCGTGTCAAAAATCGGGTTTAAATTTATTAACCTGTTCTTTACGTTTTCAACTTTCCATTATTATTATTAGTTTATTAAGTTTTATCACAAATGAAAGGTCTGTATGTACGAATGTTCATCCTAAAACTAGGTCACAGTGTCAAATCAAAGAATAACTTAAATAAATAAACATTTTAAAAGTCATTTATTAATAATTTGATCTTAAGCAAAATTTGTCAGAATTTTTGTCTATGTTATATTGGTCAGGTTAGAATTTGGGATTTGGGTCCTCTTGGATTAAAAAATTTATCAATTGAAAGATAGGCCAATATCACAGTTTTATTTAAATATATTTAACAATCTTTTTTTTTTAATTTGTTTCTTATATATAGTTTTTAGCTCGACTTTTCGCAGAATAATCGAGCTAATGCAGTCACCCATTTGTCGACGTCGGTGTCGGCGTCGGCGTCCCTGTGGTTAAGTTTTTGCGTGCAAGCTGGTATCTCCATAACTACTGAAAGGAATGGATTGAAACTTCACACAATTGTTCTCTGTGATTATCTAACATGATTGGTACAAGTCCCATAACTCTGATTTGCTTTTTTGCATAATAATGCCCCTTTTTCGACTTAGAAATTCTTGGTTATGTTTTTGCGTGCAAGCTGGTATCTCCATAACTACTGAAGGGAATGACTTGAAAAATCACACACTTGTTCTCTGTGATTATCTTACATGATTGGCACAAGTCCCATATTTCTGAGTTGCTTTTTTGCATAATTATGCCCCTTTTTTGACTTAGACTTTCTTGGTTAATTTTTTGCGTGCAAGCTGGTATCTCCATAACTACTGAAGGGAATGGCTTGAAACTTCACACACTTGTTCTCTGTGATTATCTTACATGATTGGCACAAGTCCAATAACTCTGATTTGTTTTTTTTGCATAATTATGCCCCTTTTTCGACTTAGAAATTCTTGGTTAAGTTTTTGCGTGCAAGCTGGTATCTCCATAACTACTGAAGGGAATGGATTCAAAACTTCACACACTTGTTCTCTGTGATTATCTAACATGATTGGCATAAGTCCAATAACTCTAATTTTTTTACATAATTATGCCCCTTTTTCGACTTAGAAATTCTTGGTTAAGTTTTTGCGTGCCAGCTGGTATCTCCATAACTACTGAAAGGGATGGATTGAAACTTCACACGCTTGTTCTCTGTGATTATCTTACATGATTGGAATAAGTCCATTAACTCTGATTGCTTTTTTTGCATAATTATGCCCCCTTTTTTACTTAGAAATTCTTGATTAAGCAAATATCTCCATAACTACTGAAGGGTTTGTGCTTTTTTTGAACAATTTTATGCTTTCATAATAATAAAGCAATGATTAACTCAATAAAACATCTTAATAACAAGCCTTTGTACCTTTTCGGACAATTTTATGCATTCATATAGGTAAGCTTTATAATGCTCAATGAAACACACTTGTGACAACTTTTCGAATAGTCGAGCGTTACTGTCCTCCTACGTGGTTCTTGTTATAATATAAAATCTTGGTATCCTTAAAAATGGGTCAAAACTTTGTCCATGAAAAACATACACAATCCTTCTAGAAGTCACTGTTTTGTATTTATCAATTTTTATAATTTGTATACATTTAGATAAAGCTGATCGAGCTATTATATATAGTCTCAGGTGAGCCAATTAGGACCATCACTGATCTATTGTTATGTATTTGACATATGGGGGCTGCGTTCGGCGAATATTGCTCTCCTTTATTTTGTTGTTGCTAATATTTCTGTATATTCAATTGTTTATTATATTTGAAGATATATTGCTTAAACACAAATCACCTATTTAGTATTCACAAAAGATGACTCTGTCTTGTTACTAGTTAAAGCGTGATAATGATAGATTTCATCACATTATATCCCGGCAAACGTATATAAATAGCCTCGAGACGTAACACTCATTTATTTTACTGAAATCTTTAGTGTGAGAAATAAGCATTGGAGCGCGATGTGGTTCGTGTATGCATCTATCATTCTGTTTACGCCGCATATTGAATGTGTTGGTCGTTGGGACGTATTTTCTACAAATACACTTTTGCAATGGGTGAACAGCTCGTTAAGGCACGAGTCAGATCGCATCGACAACAACATTAATTTCGGAGTCAGCACAACAGTGTGTAAATCCATTCATCTAAGCATGATGGTCAAGAATGGGGCACACTATCCAAGCGAAACACAGATGCATCGGATAAAAACGCTTCATGAAAAAATTGTAAAGTTGAAGGATCCTAAAAAATTCGTAGACCTAGATAACTGGAAGCTTCGTTATGACATGAATATGGCAGGAGAACTGACAAGTAAAGGGATAGAGGAAATAACCGAACTAGGTAACAGATTCGGTAAAATGTTCACGCCCGTTCTAAAACAGGATCCTAAAAATGAAGTTGAAATACTATCTTCTGATGATCAAAAATCTATCAATTCTTCAAAATATTTCGAGCTCGGTCTTAGGAATCAAATAATAAATATGAATATACATAACAGAGAAATAAACAATACGGAATTAAACATTGTCAAACATTGCTATAATTTTGAAAGGCATCAACAAGATGATTCAAATTCCCTAAAACAGTTTCACCTTTTCTCCAAGACTCCAGAGTTTATGGCAATAGTCAACTCAGTGAGAAGAAAACTAGGAATGAGCAACAACCTGGCAGCAGGTTGGCAATTTCTTTCTTGACTTTCTTAATTATTGTTTTGATTCACTACAACATATAGTAACATTTACATATGTGTGTATTCGACCATAATGATAAACAGTTCATGTTTTTGCAAATAATTGTTTGAAACTTAAATAATGTATCTCAATACATTTTTAGATTGAAATTTAAGAATAGGCATTGACAGTGACATTTTAATAGTCATGCGATACCGTTGCCCTTTTTCTGGCCGGTTATGAAAATACCTTTACATGTAAATTAAGTCTTAATATATTTCACTTTTCGTTTTTACCAAGCTGATCTTTATTTGATAAATGAATGGTGTGCCTATGGGACATATATTTCAAACGACATGACCTGGTGTCAGCTCCTATCAGATGAGGACAGAGGTGTTCTTGAATATGGACAAGACATCTTGGTATAAAACTTTTACATTTCCTATATGATAAATTGAGGTATATCCACACGTTTTTAATGAGTTACAAGAGGGTAGATATCTATGAATGAAGACAACACGTGAAGTTAGTTGGTTAAGTTTAGTCATTTTTCTGACCATTGTTTTCCACCGAGTACAATCTTTTTTTGTGCCCCCCAATTTGGAGGAGTGGGGAGTGGTGGGCATTTAGATTTGCCCTCGTTATCTCCTCTTGTTATTTTTCTTCTAGTAGTCCGGGTCTTTGTATAACAAATGTATCAAAATTATTTTAAAACTTTATTATGTAAATGTAATTATGATTCTTTTTTATGTTTTAAATAGAGTGCGGTCATGCATGCCTTACTCGATCTACGCTTTGTCGTTAACAATGTGTTCCAGATACAATGTTTCCTTTTTTTAATTGGTTCGTCATACCTTTTCTTATCCACATTACTTTTGTGTGTCAATATTTTGTATTCTTAAATCATCAATTATGGTTATGTATGTTGTGTTCGGTTGTCATTCTTTAAGCGTATTTTTGTATTGCATTTTAATGACACTCTTTAATCAAAAGGCCCTGAATCGATTTATATATAAAAATAACACACTTTTTATCAACAGATACGTTTAACTAAAACTTGATAATTGTCGTAGTATAGAAATAAGTGTTTAAAACTTTTTACATGTTTTCAGTAAAACTTTTTACATGTTTTCAGAATTTTTATAGATACTCGTATGGACAGTCTATCAACAGTAGAATGATGTGTCCACTTCTCAAAGGTATCTTTAGAACAATGGACAGCACGATTAACACTTCAGTA